TTTTGGACTTTAGTTTCCAGAATTATGAGACAACAAAATTCACAATTCAATTGTTTTAAGCCACTCAACTTTTTTTTTAATATTTTATTTATTTATTTATTCATGAGAGACACAAACAGTGAGAGAGAGAGAGGCAGAGACACAACACAGGCAGAGGGAGAAGCAGGCTCCATGCAGGGAGCCTGATGTAGAACTTGATCCCGGGTCTCCAGGATCACACCCTGGGCTGCAGGCGGCGCTAAACTGCTATGCCACTGGGGCTGCCCTAAGCCACTCATCTTATAGTTATTAGGGCAGTCCTTAGGCACTAATACAGTAATGTTACATTGATTTTCATCTTGATTCATTCTTGCATTCTTGGGACAAATTTCAATTGGTCATTGTGCAGAATCCTTTTAAAATGCTTCTGAATTGGATTTGCTAATATTTTGCTGTGGATTTTTGCATCCATATTCATGAAGTATATTGGTCTGTAGTTTTCTCATGAAGTCTTTGGTGTGGATATCAGAGTAATATTTGCCTCATAAAATAAGTAAGGAAAGGATCTCTTCTATTTTTTGGAAAGATTTCAGAAGCATTAGTGTTAACTTTAAACATTTGGTAGCATCTGATCTTATGCTTCTCTTCATTCAGAATTTAAGTTACTAATTAAATCTCTTTTTTGTTATAGCTCTATTCTAGTTTTTTATTTCTTAAATTTTGATAGTTTGATTCTAGGAACTTGATCATTTCATCTAGAATAGTTAATTTGTTGGCATACCGTTGTCAATAGTATTCTCTCATAATCCTTGTTATTTCTGTAAGATCAGTAATAGTATCCAATTTACTTTCTTACTTTAATACTTTGAGTCTTCTCTCACTTTTTTTTCTTGATCAGTCTAGCTAAATGTTTTCCAATTTTGCTGATCATTTCAAGAATGAACTTTTGGTTTCACTGATTCCCTTTGTTATTTTTCTACTATTTCATTTATCTTTGTTTTACTCTTGATTTCCTTCATGAGTTTCATTTTCTTTTTCAGTCCTTCAAAGTAAAAGCTTTAGTAATTGATCTGAAATCTTTGTCAACGTAGGCATTTACAGCTACAAATTTCTCCATAAGTATGGATTTTCCTTTATTTTGTTTTTTATAGTGTATTTTTTCATTCACCTTAAAGTATTTTTAAATTTCCCTAGTGATTTCTTCTTGTACAGTTGGCTGCTTAAGAGTGTTTTAGTTCAACATGTTTGCAAATTTTTCAGTTTCCTTTGTTACTGATTTCTTATTCCATTCCATTGTGGTCAGAGAAGATACTTTGTGTGAATTCAACTTTCCAAATTTATTGAGACTTGATTTGTGGCCCAACATATGATCTATGCTATAGAATGTTCCACGTGCACTTGAGAAGTGCATGTATTCTGCTGTTGTTGGATGGAGTGCTCTATATTCCTGAGGTCTAGCTGGTTTATAGTGTCACTCAAGTCTTCTGTTTCCTTGTTTATATTAATTCTATTACTAAAAGTGGGTGCTAATATCTCCAACTATTATTGTTGAATTATCTATTTCTTCATTTCTTTCAGTTTTTGCTTCATATATTTTGGGGTTTCTTGTTAGCTGCATGTTTACTATTATCCCATCTTCTTGATGGATTGATTCTTTTATGAATTTTATATTCTGCTATTAACAACCTTTACCACATGTTTTTCATCACTAACACCTGTGCCCTTGGACAAGTAACTTCTCTTTGGTTTTCTCATCTATAAAATGAAGATAATAAGTAAGTACAATATCTAACTCCCAGAGATATTGGGACGGTTAACTGTGTTAATACATGAAAGGGCTTTGAAGAATGCCTGGACATTAGATTTATTCAAATGTTAAATATAATTGTTACTATTAGTAATAACAGCACTACTACTACTCATCTACAATGGTCTATTAAACTGTGAGCTCTAAAGGGTTATTTTTACACCCTGAGCACACGCGTCATAGTAAAAAAGTCAATATTGGAAGGAATTGATCTACATTTTATAGTGTACAATGAATACGGTCAATTATTTATTATCCTGAGGTTAAAATTTTCATTTGCTAGTGCCTTCAGCTACTTATTTTTGCAAGAGATATTATTTACTGTGAAATCTCTAAATTCCTTAGAGAACACTTTTTGCAAAAAATATTTAATTTCTTAGAAGTGAGAGGCAATTTCCTTTTACCTAATATATTTCAATAAACTTATCTAATCCACTATAATGGTTAATTGTATGTGTCAACTTGGCAGGGCCACGGAGGCTGGATGTGTGGTCAAACATTATTTCGGATATTTCTATGAGAGTGTTTTTGGATGAAATTAACATTTAAATCTTTAGCCTCTGAGTAAAGCACACTCAACTCCATGTGAGTAGGTCTATTTGTGTTATTAGTACAAGTCCTGTTTAGAAACAAAAGACTGAGCTCCCTGGAGCAAGAGAGAATTCTGCAGCAAACAGCCTTTTAGATCTGAACTGTATGTAATGCTGGCTCTTCCTTGGGTCTCCAGGTCCACCCTTATGATTTGAACTTGCCAGCCTCCATATAATCACATAAGCCAAGTTCTTAACATAACTATCTTTCCCTCCCTCCACCACCACTCCTCTCTTAATATATATAAATATAACCACCTACAGTATGTATGAAATTAAGTTGTAGACCAGGTTATAATCATTTAAAGGAAAAAAAAAGTCTTTATTTGGCAAGTTTAGAATTTAAAATATATATATGTATATAATTACATAAATTATATATGTATATACATTAAAATTTATGTATATATGTATATACATAAATATTATGTGAACCAGGGAATTAAGAATCTGTGAAGTTTCATCTTATTTCCTTTATCCCCTTTTGATAACAATGTGTTATCTATACAGTAAAAAAAAAAAAAATAGAAAGGGGATAAATTATTCCAGTCATTTTAAATTTCAAAATTTTATTTTTCATATCCTCGAAACATAGAATTTAAATCACGTACATGAACACAAAGATGGACATAAGATGGACATAGCTATTTAAAACACTGACAAAATCCAGTTACAATAATATATATTTTTAAACCAAATTTTCTATTCTTATAGTGAAAAACTAAGTTCATTAAGAACTACATAGGAAAATATAATAGTTAATTTTGTGTTCTCTTTTCAAATATGTGACTTTGAAGGTATGTTTTAATAACACCTCAAAAATCCATATACAATGCAACAAATAGATTTATAACACTTTCTTTTGGTTATTACTCACTGTAATTCAAGAAGCTCCAGGAAGAGTCATCATTTAAGGAACTCCTCTGGCTAGAATCACAACCAAATTTTGAATATTTGGTCAAAGGAACATGAAAATGCCAGGTCTTGTCACAATAGGTGGAAAGAAATAACCTATAACGTTGTATATTTCAGATAAAGACAATCCTAACTAAGCTCCAAATCAAGCATTTGGGCAAGTGGTACCTTACTCTCATTAAAGAAAAGTCCTTACTGCTGAGGGCACTGGGTCTCTGGAGTTGATTTGGAAGACACGTATAAAATAGGGTGTGATTTCTTACAAGTTTCCTTTTCCAATTTGCTTGCAGTTTCTTTCCCTTCTTTAACTTCTGTTTGAAGCCTTGATTCAGCAGCTAACCTACAGGTATTAAAGCATCCACTCTGAATTCAAATGTGGTTAAAAAAATTAAAGAAGAAACAAACCTCTCATATAATGGGCCTCTAATGAGACATGATCAATTTTATGTTTATGAGGAAAAAATTACAGTTGACTCCAAAACCATTAAGAACTAAGTCACTGCCTCTCTAAAAGAAACTTTTTTATATCAACACTTAATTTTTTAAATGCCTTAAGAAATATTTTTAAGGTTGATAAAAGTCATGGCAAAGCGTAAAGAATTAAAATACAATGGGATGTCTATTAGGGTAAGTATGCCTAAAAAATAGTTAAATGCTAGAGCACAATTGTAATGTTAACGTTGACATACAAAAGGCAAACACAAGATTAAAATAACATGGAATCCTGGACCACATGCATACCAATCTGTCTCAGAAAAAAACCCTAAACAAGCTGAATTTCAACTAGCATAATAATAATTTAAGAAAAAATAAACAGTGGAGAGATATTTTGAAAAGTTTATACAGATTTTCTAGCAAGAGCATCAATTAAATTTATAAAGCATGCAATAGTGAAGTTCCCAGTAAACCCGTATTTATTGTTACAATATTATCACCAGATTGTGTCTAAGTTAATCATGCAGAGAGCAAAAGGTTGGAAACGTCTTAAGTTAGCAGATGGACTCACACATACACAAAAACAAATGTTTTGTGGTATTTTATTTGTTTTTGTTTAATTTGCCAGACAAAATTCCAACACGCTACTTAATTTGAGTCAAACAAGTAGCTAAATACATTTTCTTAAGTAACTTTTATCAAACAAAAAAAGACAGAAAAAGAAATGAAGACAACACAGATAGCAAGGTCTGCACTGATCAATTCTGGAACTTCACCTCCAGAAATATACAATGGTCAAGCACACTTACACAACAAATCACATATATACAAGCATAATCTATTGAATTCATTTCAGAAGTACTCGGAACTCTGTATGTGCATGTGTGTGACATAATTCATTTGAATTTACTTTTTCCTTGAGAATAATAAACTTTTATTTTATGAGACCTATCATGTTAATATAAAAATTTAAGGAATGGAGTAATAAATTACAGTTGACCTTTGAACAATGCAGGGGTCAAGGGTACCGACCCTTACAGTCAAAAATCCTTGTACACTCCTCCCAAACTTAAGTATTAATAGCCTACTCTTGATTGGAAGCCTTATCCATAACATAAACAATCAGCACATATTTTGTATATATTATATACTGTATTCTTATAATAATGTTAGAGAAAAAAATGTTATAAGAAAAAATCTTAAGGAAAATACATTTGCAACAATGTACTGCATTTACCAAAAAATCCACATGTAAGTGGATCTGCATAGTTCAAACTTGTGTTGTTCAAGGGTCAACTGTACTTCTCTTAAAAATAACAGCAGCTCACATTGTTGAGGTGCTTTCACTGTAGAGCACCAACTTTGTAGCACTGAAGACTTTAAAAATAAAAATCAGATAAAACATACAAAACAGCCCTTTACAAAGGTGGGCTACGTCTGACTGTATTAACTGAAATGCACACTAGCAAAATGCCTTATTCTGTACCCTCCCGTCTACAACTCACATAGTCCTAGTAGCACCTTAAAGATTTCCTTTCAAATCCAAGCTCTTTTCACTATGCTTAATTTTTTAAATGTCTAAAGATATTTGTTTTAAATGCATCTGTTGTTCCATTGCATACAGACATTCTTCATTATCTTTTTATCACCTTCTCCATTTTCCTCATTCATTTCTCTTTGCCCTACTCTTGGTCCTGCTGTACACACCCTGAGCTTGTGTTTTATTCCCCCCAGCCTCAGCCACTGTTACCTCCCTTTCTCTTTCACTCACTTTCTCTTATCTTCCTATCTCTATTATTTTTTTAAAAGATAAGGCCCTTAAAATGTTAATTCCTATAAACATACATGTCTGACACTTCCTCTTTTAGTCACAAACTCAAATATGTAGAAACTGGAGGTTCTGAAGTTTTGATATAAAATGAAAATGAATTACTTTTGATATTTAAAAATGTCAAAATCAAAGCTCAATCTTAAAGACTTATGACAGACATTTTCAAAAGCCATAAAAATTTCACCTAACAGTCTTCTAGAAGGCTGAAATTTCTTAGACTATTGGAAAGCCATTTTAGGAGATAATTTTTCTTTCATGGCCACTCTTGAACTAGGGAAAAAATAACCAACTGTACAATTTATTCAAACCAACAAAACATTCAGAGATGTACTAAGCTGTGATATTTCTGTTTTATGAGAGAACAAAATGTAACTTTTGAAAATAATTCCCTTATTCAGGAGTCCTTTCCCTTTGCAATTGTTTTAGTTTTTCGTAAAGTTTTAGAAAAATTGAAAGAAGGTAGATGAAACTGGGGAATTATACTACATGCAATATTAAGAAAATAGATAAAGAAACAGATAGCACAGTTCATGCAGCGATAGAGAAGAGATGGAGAGGTCTGCTGGTTGCCCTGAAGAAAAGAGGACACTGACCTGGGAGAATTTGGGGTGTTTCCACTTCTTTCACTTAAGGCTTCAGAGTCAGCTGAAACTCCTAGAAGTTTCACACATTTCTTTTCCTTCATTGGCTGAATGTCCGTGGGCAGGCTTTTGTGAGGAGAAAGACTGATTCCTAGTGTATTTATAGAAACTGTCTTTTCTAACTGCAAGTTGTTATCTTCTGAACTGCTGGGATAGCACTGGGCCTCCACTTTCTGAGGGGGTAATCTATAATCTTCTTCCCCAACAGCATTTTTGGCACATACATTGTTAGGGGTGGTTACATCCATAGGCAGGACCTCACGCCTCTTCTTGGGTACAGGCACTTCACTTTTCTCTGAGAATAAAAACCATTAAAAATATATTCAATAAGTCAAAACAAAGATATAGTAAAAAGACAGAACTAGCTATACAGTTTTTTCCTCTCCTACTCTTCATTCTTTTGAAACCCACTTATCTTCTTATTGAAATATATTGTCTTTTATCCTTTCTTTTTCATAGACTTCACTAACTATATCTTTAAAAGGTTATCTGACTATAAATTTTTCCTTGGGAACTCAAAAGATTTAGTTTTCGCAATGAAAACTTCTATGTTTTGATACTGTTATAAAAGTTACACAGGGCTTTAACAGACTTCAGTGTGGAGGTAAGGAAGGATACAGTGGCTAAGAGTCAAGGAATCCAGGTACAAATCCCGTATTAGCACTCTGCAGCTGAGTAACTTTGGGAAGTACTTAGCCTCTTGAGCTTTATCTTCTTTAGCTGTAAAATGGGAATTAAAAAGATCCAGTCAACTTGATATTATGTGTTATAGTGATTACATTGCAAAGAAGTCAAGTTCTCTGAGGCAACCTGTGCCTATTCACCCCATCTACAAAATATATTCAAAATCTGAGTACTTCTACTTATGGATACTTCTCAAGTTCAAACCACCATATGTCTTACTGCAGTCTAAGGCAATAGCCTTCTACCACCACTGCTTTAACGTAACATGATTCCATCCCCTATGCAGGTTTATTTACAGGCACTGAATTAATTGTTCTAATCTTTTCCCTATCCCCATACCAATGGGCCTTTCATTTTCAAAATCAAAGTTAGTGAAGTTGGAAAAAGCATGGTTGGGACGTGGGATTAGTGTTCCTACTCTACACGGCTCTTTTTAAATCATTTTCCCTTTCTCTTAATATTGTTCTTCACATCAACTAAATTCACTATACTTCCCTCTGTCTCTTGGCTATGTTTAGTTCAGCAGACTTTTGAAATTCGTAATGTATAATTCTTAATTAGGAAAGCCTATTAGAATCAAGGAAGAGAAAAAGGATGAAAGAGAAGCCTTTATCAACTATACAAAACCTTACTATTGCTAACAATCTCCCCATTACTGTTAAGAATCACTCAAGTCACTGAGACAAAAATGAAGACAATCTTAGGCATGTAAACAATGTAAGGTCAAAAACTGGCTGAAAATCTATAACCTAAAACATGTAAAAACACTTTTTTTTTTTTTGGTCTAAGAATCATTGTATTCTTAGGCTTTTTTACTTTTATCCTTTTGTTTTTTAATTTACAAACAAACAATAAAATCACTCTGTTTAGTGTCTAAGATGCAGAGTTCATACGGTAAGGCTATTTTCTACCTCAGTGATTAGACGTGCTAGTTGTCCTCTAATATTGGTCCTAGTTTTCCTCAATAATGGAACCCTTAAGAGTATACTCAATAATATTGTAATACCTTTGCATGGTGACAGACTGTAACTAAACTTATCATGGTCATTTTATAATGTATAAATATATCATGATATAAACTTGAAAGTAATGGAGTATTATATGTCCATTACACTTAAAAAAAAAAAAAAATCCCGTGATGTAGTTGGGAACATGGCCACTGAGAATCAAAACTGCATTTCTCAGCTTTTCTTGTAGGTAGGTGAGGCCACATGACTCAATTCTGCTCAAGGATTACACTGATGAACAATGAAAAGAAAGCCTAAATCCTGACACTCTGACCAGTTGTAGAATGCCTCTTCTAGACTTTTGTAAGGGGAGGAATTAATACTTATTTTGTTTAAGTCTCCATTATTTTAGGTTTTCTACAAACAATACTAACTAATACAGCTCCCAAACATCAGTTGCCTCAAAAAAATCAAACTCTTTAATATTGCATAAGATGTTGCAATTGTAAATGAAAAGGTTTCTAACGTTTTTAAACTTTATCAACGTTCTAATATACAGATATCCAACAGAATATCTATTTATTCATATATACGCAGTACTCAGATCTCTGAATTTTCCTACACATTTTGTAGGTTTTTTTTTTTTTTAGAGATACATACGCACAAATTAGTTTGTAATGGGATCTGCATAAAACTATAGTAAGAAAAAAACTTGATATGATTTCTCAGAGCTTCTCATAATTTAAAAGATAAAATATATGAGACATGCATACCTTCAGGTTCATACTTCAGTTTTAGCTCATCTAGTTTAGCTCTCAGTTTCATATTCTCACTTTGGGAGAGCTGGAGACATCTTTCGTTTGCAAAAAGTTTTCTCTCAATATCCAAAGCCCGCTGGCTCTCAAATAATGCTTTCATTCGTTGTATGGACAATTCACCTTTAGTGTTTTCATTTTCTTTGCTATGTAAATAAAAAAAGGAGAACCAAGGAATATTAACATAACATACATAAGTGTTTTATACACATATTTGTAAAACATATTCTTTAGTGCAAATACTTTATTACATATTTGAACTCTCAGATAAACATATATTTCCTTGCAGTTTTAAGTAACAAAGAAACACTAAACAAAGTAAGTTTTTTAAATTAAATTCATTAGCCAACAGAGTACATCATTAGTTTCAGATGTAGTGTTCAATAATTTATCAATTGCATATAACACTTAGTGCTCATCACATCACGTGCCCTCCTTAATGCCCATCACCCAATTAACCCATACCCCCACCGACCTCCCCTCCAGCAACCCTGTTTGTTTCCTCTAGGTTTTAACAATAACACTTTCAAATAAAAAATGTCATGCATTCTTCAAAGGGAAGGAGGAAAATATTCCTTCCACATTAGTGCACGTGTAAATAATTTCCTTTTAAGTTCCAAATTAGATATTTATTCCTGAAAAATTTAGGGTATAAGAATATTTTCTATGTCAAAGTTCTTTTCAGTTACCATTTTTTTTTTTTTTAAGATTTTATTTATTCATGAGAGACACAGAGAGGCAGAGACATAGGCAAAGGGAGAGGCAGGCTCCTTGCAGGAAGCCTGATGCGGGACTCTATCCCAGGACCCTGGGATCAACCCTGAGGCAGAGGCAGACGCTCAACTATTGTGCCACCAGGTGCACCTCATTTAAAAATCTAAAATCCTAAACATGGAGAAATACAAATATTTAATAATTCATTGAAAGTATTTTTCTTCAATAACCAGCACAAATTATATCTTGAATATATCTTATTTGCTATACAAAGATATTTTTGATGCTTTTCTTTTATGGAAATTCTTTTGGCAATTTGAAAACAAAAATTTGTAGTCACTAATACTACTTTTTATAAGCAAGTCAAGAGAATATCCAGCTTTCTAAGCACCCAACACTTACTTTAAGTTGTCAAGCTTTATCTGAAGTAAATCTGTGTAATAGGTGTTATCTTCCAGAGTGCCAGAGTTGGCAGAAAGCTTAGATTCTGTACTTTCATATAAACTCTAAAGAAAACAACAATTCTTATTACTTAAGATAAATAACAAATTAGGTTAATCCAGTTGCCCTTGAACAATACAGGTTTAAATGGCACTGATCCACTCATATGTGAATTTTTCATAGTAGAGAACTATAAATATATTTTCTCTTCCTTATAATTTTCTTAATATTTTGCTGTCTCTAAACTTGAAGAATACAGTGTATAATACGTGTAACACACAAAATATGTGTCAGTCAACTGTTTCTATTATTAATAAGGCTTCTGGTAAATAGTAAACTACTCATAAAGTTTTTGAGGAGTCAAAAGTTATACAGATATTTAACTGCACAGGGTTGGGCATCCCTAGGCCCCGTGTTGTTCAAGGGTCAACTGATTTAAGATATTCAAACCAAATCTGGCTGCGTTATTGAAGGGGTTATCTTTACCTTAAATTTCTCCAGATTTCTAATTTCACCTAAGAGGTGTTTAATTTCACCGTTCTTCTGCTCCAGCATGGCAAGCAACCGTTCCTGCTGCTCAAATTCAGTTTGAGACCCTTTCATTTGTAGCAATGTGGCAATTTGTAACTAGAAAAATAAAAAAAAATTACAACCTCACCCCACCCCACACAGAGAACTGAGTGGGGGAAAGGAAGATTCTGATAACTACATTTGAGGTACAATGCATATTCTGTACTACTATCTCTAGAACTCAGTTTGGAAACTAAACTATGTCTAGTTTAATAATTTAATAATTTGAAACTATTTGTATCAATAAGTTTTTGTTTTGTTTTGTTTGGATTTTATTTATTTATTCATGAGAGACACAGAGAGAGAAGTAAAGACACAGACAGAGGGAGAAGCAGGCTCCCTTCAGGAAGCCTGATGTGGGACTTGATCCCAGGACCCTGGGATCAAAACCTGAGCCTAAAGGCTCAACCACTGAGCCACGCAGGCGTCTCTGTATCAATAAGTTTAGTTACAGATATAACTCAAGTACTTATTTAAGTACTTAGAAGTAATATCTGGTATCTATAACAATTTTTGCACTTCTGTGAAACATAAAATTGAACTGAATGGCTAGGATCCAGAAGCATCACTTAATTAAATAAGTCTGCCCAAACGGTATAATGTTGTACTTTACTCATCACATGCACGATCATTTAGGGTCTGATGGGGTTTCTCAAAAATTTTGATTAACTTCAACAGTATTAAGTGGGGGAAATTATTAAGCTACTCATATTTATAACGGTGAGATTCACCAATGACAAGAATGGAAACAAAGGTAAAAGGCACCTAAGGATCCTGAAGAAATCTTCAATATAAATATATTAACATAATATGTTAATTAATTGAATTTAAATAAAAAGTTAAAAAAAATTAAAAGGGCCTATATGCTTGACTTGAGGAACTACAAGAAAAGATTATTCAAATCTAATTATTAGCCTTTGCAGGAGAACTAAAGAATGGTGAGAGAGCTAGTTTTCGTTTAAGTAGGAACCTTAGGGGACGCCTGGATGGCTCAGTGGTTGAGCGCCTGCCTTCAGCCCAGGTCGTGAACCTGGAGTCCTGGGATCGAGTCCCACATCGGGCTCCCTGCATGGAGTCTGCCTCTCTCTTTCTCTGTGTCACTCGTGAATAAATACATAAAATCTTAAAAAAAAAAAAAAAAAAAAAAGTAGGAACCTTAAGCCTGTGCTAAGAAACACCAGGCCAGTAGCTGGAAATAAAAACTTTCCAAATTTTTTTTTCTACCACACAAAATTTATATATTTCTGGGAAAGCTGTTGAATAACCATTAAAAAAAAATAATAAACCAATGGATGTTAACTATACTACTACTAAATATCTACTAAAGGATTAATTTTTTGAAATAAAATATAATAATCTTTTAGTCAATCTAAAGATTTTTTTTTTTTCGGGATCCCTGGGTGGCGCAGCGGTTTAGCGCCTGCCTTTGGCCCAGGGCGCGATCCTGGAGACCCGGGATCGAATCCCACGTCGGGCTCCCGGTGCATGGAGCCTGCTTCTCCCTCTGCCTATGTCTCTGCTTCTCTCTCTTTCTCTCTCTGTGTGACTATTAAAAAAAAAAAAGAAAAAAAAAAGAAAGATTTTTTTTCTAAAATCATGCAGTTCTAGAAACAACTAAGTACAGGGATGCCTGGGTGGCTCAGCAGTTAAGTGTCTGCCTGCCTTTGGCTCAGCAGTTGAGCGTCAGCCTTTGGTTCAGGGCCTGATCCCAGAGTCCTGGGATTGAGTTCTGCATCGGGCTCCTAGTGAGAAGCCTGCTTCTCCCTCTGCCTATGTGTCTGCCTCTGTCTCTCTCTCTCATGGATAAATAAATAAAAATCTTAAAAAAAAAAAAAAAAAAAAAAAAAACTAAGTACACTCTTTGAAGGAAAAGATGCTTTCTTTGGTTCATCTGTACATGTAATACAGATACAAAATAGGTCTAATAAACCTTCAATGGTGATAACGCTATACCTTCATTCTTTGCATCTGTTCTCTGTTAAATGCATTTTGCTTCTTTAGTGACTGATACTTGACTTTCATACTGATAAACTGACGTTCCATTGCTGCCCTTCGATCTTCCACCTAGAAAATTTTAACATGGTTAATTACTCTTGTATTATGCGAAATGTTAATCTAATCAGTGGAGTGTTTGCTACGTACCTCTGCAAACAAAGAGTTGCCTTTACTACTGGGGTCCAAGGCTTGCTGGAGTGCCTGGTCTAATTGCACCTGAAGATCTTGATTTGCTACACGAGCTTTCTAAATTTGAGAAAAAACAATTTAGCTCATAGAGGTTAGATTAACAAGGAAACAACTTATTATAAACTGGAAAAGATAATGTTACTCTAGTCATAGTACCTCTAAGGCATTATAGTAAGAAACTGCTTCTTTCTCTCGCTCCTCTTTTTCTTCTTTAAGCCGGTCTACCTGGCGCATTAGATTAGTACTAAGAAGTTCTAGTTGTTCTTGTCTGTACTGTAGTTCATTCACTTCTTCTTTGAGGGTAGTCTATTCAACAGGAATTGAAAAAGACGAAATTGTCCTGAATAATCTTTCATTTAGCAGCTGCTCAGTTTATCTATCAGAAGTGGTTCACACCCAAAACTGAAACTAAAGAGCCAGTCAACAGTTGTAAAATGCATAATAAAATAAAAATACTAAATTAAAAAAAAAATACTAAATTTTTTATCAAGGAACCAAATGAAAGGTTATCTTTCTTTCTTATGAATTTAAGCTTTTAATTTTTAATTAACCTTAGCCTGCAATGAAAAATATCTACATTCATATGCATATCAATTTCCATGAAACCAATATTTTATATAGGGCTTTTATGACACAAAGAAGGGTCAGAGTTAATGACTCTAAGTTCTTCCAGAGCTTTAATTAATCTAAAGGTAATCTGCCTTACATAATCACACAATCTAAAACCTTACTGTGAATGAGTAATCCACCTAAAAACTCTATAAAATATTTTTTAATTAGTTACATCAAAGTTAAGCAAAAAATGTTTTAGCCTTAAAATTATCTAAGGATCATAACAAAAACATGTAGAAAAAATGCAAGAAAAAAGAAAATAACCTAGAAACAGATGCCATAAAAATTACCTTCGTACTTTCCATTTCAGTCAGCTCAATTTGAAGAGCCAGCATCTCTGAAGACATGCTTTCATGTACATGCTCAGACATTATTCGCATTTCCTCTGATTTACATGAAAGGAGTTCCTTCTGATGGTCTACTTTGTGCTTCAGCTGCTTTTCACTGAGCCTAGCTTCATCTAATTCTGCTTTCAGTTTTTCTAACTAAAGTAAAAAAGGAAAATTTGCAATCTTAAAAAATCAAAAGGCAATTGAAGGTCATCAGAATATATAGTTATAGTACAAATTATTCTGGTATCTGCAGAGTAACTATTTTAATGAGATAGTCAAACTGAACAAAACTAATTACACCTTCATATAGTTCTAAATCTTGGAAAACTAAAAATGTAAGTTTAAAGGAAACAAACTTATGCAGAAGGATGAAGTTTTAGGGTGAAACCTAGATTTAAACTGTTTCCTTCCTCTTAGGTAAAATTGGTAAATGATTATATCTACCATTACTACGTTATTGTGTGGCTCTCAACTGAGATCAAGTGGGTAAAACATTCAGCACCATGACTAGCATTCACTAAACAATTTCTGTTATCAGTAAAAATCTTGATGTCCAGGATTATAGTTATTACCTATACTGAATTATCTGCAATTAAGTATCAACATTCTTAGATTATATCCTGATACCTGTTTTCTAATTTAAAAAATAAGAGCCTCTTGACTTATTTTACCTTTTCTATTTTCATGATGTGAAAAAAAATTTCAGGTGAATGACCTATGTTGAAATGTGGCCATCTTTCTGAAAAACATCACTGACTGACCCAAACTTACTGTATGATCAGACTATTAATATTAAGGTTTCCTATTTGGTTACAGACTAAGCACCTTTTAACAGTGATATGCTTTGTCTCACAAACATAACAAATAGTCCATACAAGTAATCAAAGTAGGTCTGGACTCCTGGCCACTTTGGCGGCTATGTGAAGAGTGAATGGTATGAATAGAAATGATGGAAGCCGACTACCTGGAGAGAAGGTTATAATAGTAGTCTAGGGGAGAGAAGATGGCGATGTGGACTAGAATTATAGCGGCAGAGATGGATGCTTTGTATATCAAGTTCTTAGAACTAGTTGATGAAGTATTGTGAGAAATAAGTGAAAGATATCAAGTAAAACTCCAAAAATTTTGGCACAGGTGATAGGAGACTGAAAACATTTTTTGACTAATTTAGTCTTTGCTCTGCCAAAAAGCCACCTCTTAGGCAAGTGCCTTGCCTCAGATACTGAGTATTTATTACTACATTACTTTTTGTTTGTTTGTTTAGGTAATGAAAGCCACTGCTAAAATGAAAATAACATGGTAGGGGGTAATGGAGGGGGAGGAGAATGCATCATTATCAGTCATTGGTGCCTCAAGTCAGATTAGTTTCAGACAAGGTAGATTACTGTTTGCCAGCATGAATGCAAGATGATTCTAGGTATTATAAGAAAGCACATTTTGATAGTCATATTCATCTGACTACGATTTAGGAAAAAACATAACCAGCTCGAATATATAATTTCCTTGATATTGTTACTTAAAATGAGAAAATATTTTAAGAGAGAGTCAATTTAAAGAAATCATTTAAGAGTAAAGGTGGTACAGATCTGGAAAAATCTTAAAAGATGCTACATAAACACAGAAAATTAGAAAACAGGCCAAATGTCAGGTAAGGTTTTATAGAGAAGGGTCTGGAAAATAGGGACTCTATAAAAAGAAGAGCCATGATAAAGGTTCTGAATTCCTTTGAAGTAACTGAATAGTTGGTGGTACTGAAAAAGAATAGGTGACTTATTTTTATGTGTGAAATGAAGCCAGCATAACATACTGTTAGACTAAGTACAGTCACATAGGCTTTGAAGCAGACAGCTTCAGTTCAAATCTTGATGGATTTCTGTGATTTTTGTTCAATTTACTCAATCTGTTTAAACATTGGTTTCCTCCTCTGTTATACAGAGACAATAATGGCACCTTTCTTATTAAGTTATAAGAAGTAGATCATATGCCATTAGCTTACTTCAATAACTAAACTAGAAAGTATCAATTCTAATGTGTATTAACTTACAATAAACTACTGGTTTCTTTTGTAGGTTACAAAGTGTACTACTCCTTTCTGTGAAAGTTAGGAGACTGGTCTTTCTGAAAGGGGACTGCCATACTATGCATTATAAGCAAGGTCATGCTTTTCACTAAACTGAAACTCCATAAAAAAATTTTTAGTTATTGAAATTAAATAATTATATTTAATTAGTAGAATGTTATCAATACAAGTCCCTTTGGTAAACTCTTGTTTCTCAGTGTTCCCACTCCCAATATCATGATGATGGAGCCCTTGATCTCAACTATTTTCCCTAGATGGTATTAAGAAAATCTTCATCACTAAAATTTACAGATTGCTAACTCCATAAGTACGAAGCATTTTTGTTTTGACATATATAGATATCCAAACCTTATTTTTTAGTTCATTTACTTCTTGTCCATGGCTTCTGCTGAGCTGTTCTTTTAATTGCTCCAAGTGTGTTTTTTGCTGTTGTTTAATAGCTTCACATTCAGAGCTCAAACTTTCCAACATTCGACTCTTAAGTTCAACTTCTCTCTGAAGAGTATATTTTTCTTGTTCATAATTCTGAAAACAGATTCAATTATAATTCAATTACATAAAGATAACTTAAAGCCATCATATATAAACAATTCTCACCCTCAGCTGTTTCATTCCTGTTTCACATATTTGCTGCTAAGGAACAACCACCTGTTAGACCTGGAATAACTGTTAGCTAATCAGTCTTACAAAAAGCCTGTTGGGTTTTAGATACTCATGTGGTAATTGCTTCTATGCCCATCAAGGAATTAAAAGGTGTTCCATGGCATGTCAACATATCAAGTAATCTCTGCTAGGGAAAGCAAAAACAAAAACATTTAGTAGCACTTCAGTTTTCCCAGTGATAATTACTTGGTTTGGTAACATTATGCTCTACTTATGGCTCTGAAAATAAACTAGTAGACAGGGCACAAAGAAAAATACTAAATTATCCTTTACTTTTAGAATGTAGTCATCTGAGAAATGTTCACAAATGACTACTCAATGAATATAGTATTGAGACAAAAGGAGGATTTAAGAGGGCTTTTGCTTCTGACAGGGAAGTTGGGTTTTTTGTTGTTGTTTTTGTTTGTTTAGTTTTTATTTTTTCATCTGACAGAGTGCCAGTGCACAAGCAGGCGGCAAGGGCAGAGTGAGAGAGAGAAACAGATTCCCTACTGAGCAGGGAACCTGACTCAAGGGCTTAATTCCAGGACCCCAAATTCATGACCTGAACCTAAGGCAGACCCTTAGCCACTGAGCCACCCAGGTGATCTCTGACAGGGAAGTTTAAAGATTAAAAAATAGCATTAGTTCAAAGTCCTTCAGTAAGCTTTTAAAAATAAAATTAAATAAGAAAAATATGTAAGGTTTTTTTTTTTTTTTTTGCTATACTTAAATCTTGAGATCAAAGTTTAAACATATTACTGAGCATTTACTACATAAGATTAATACTTTTTTTATTTTTAAAGATTTTATTTAGGGCAGCCTGGGTGGCGCAGCGGTTTAGCGCCACCTGCAGCTCAGGGTGTGATCCTGGAGACCCGGGATCGAGTCCCACATCAGGCTCCATGCAAGGAACTCTTTTACTCTGTATCTCTGTGGCCCTCTCTCTCTCTCTCTCTCTCTCTCTCTCTGTGTGTGTGTGTGTGTCTCATGAATAAATAAATAAAATCTTTAAAAAAAATAAAAAAATAAAGATTTTATTTATTTGTTCATGAGAGACAGAGAGAAAGAGAGGCAGAGACACAGGCTGAAGGTAGCGCTAAACCGTTGAGCCACCGGGAGTGCCCTAATTAATACTTTCAATAAATGTGTGCCAGATGTTACACATATAGCAGTGAACAAAACAGACAAAATTCCCTCTCTCATGGAGTTTATAATCTGGAGTTAATTAGCTGAATTACTGAATGACAGCAACTTTACAAAACACTCTCAGGGAAGGCCTCTCAGCTGAGGTTGACATTTAACAGACACCTAAAGGTTGAGGACTCAATCCATGACAGTGAGGGGATGTGCAATACAGGTGAAGGCAACAGCTCACGTAAAGTCCATAAGGTGGGACTAGTATACCTTGGCACAAGGAAAAGTAGTTTAAACATTTATTTTTTTTTTTAATTTTTATTTATTTATGATAGTCACACAGAGAGAGAGAGAGAGGCAGAGACACAGACTGAGGGAGAAGCAGGCTCCATGCACCGGGAGCCCGACGTGGGATTCGATCCCGGGTCTCCAGGATCGCGCCCTGGGCCAAAGGCAGGCGCCAAACCGCTGCGCCACCCAGGGATCCTGGAAAAGTAGTTTAGATGAGGTCAAGGGTTGGCATGGGTCAGATCACATAGGAATCTGCAAATACAGGTAAAGAGTTTGAATTTTGATGTAAATATAATTGGAAATCACAATTGTGTTTTTAGCGGGGCCGTGACATGATCTTTTGTTTATTTTTCAATGGCCATGTGGCTGCTGTGTGAAAAATGAATGGCACGAAACGCAATGAGGGAAGCAAGCAACCTGGTTAAAGGCTACAACAGTAATCTTAGGGACAGATGATGACGGTCTGGATTAGAGTGGCAGTAGTACAGATCGATGTTTTGTAGGTTAGGTTCTTAGAACTTATTGATGGATCAAACATGACAAATAAGGGCCACAGAGAGTAAAATTCCTAGAAATTTTGCTAAAGTTATTATATATATACTAAGTAAGCTAAATCGCAAGGGAATGCTTTGTTAGCAGGCAGGGAATCAACTATTATGTTTATGTTATGTTTGAGATATCCATAAGTAGGAAACTGAATACACAAATCTACACTGTAGAGGTCAACTGGACTTGGTATAGTATCATGAGACATTTAGATGTTTTCTGAAGGGACGCCTGGGTGGCTCAGTGGTTAAGCGTCTGCCTTTGGCTCAGGGCATGATCCTGGAGTTCTAGGATCATGTCCCACATTGGGATCCCTGCATGGAGCCTGCTTCTTCCTCTGCCTATGTCTCTACCTCTCTCTGTCTCCATAAATAAATAAAATCTTAAAAAAAAAAATAGATTGTTTTCTATAGCTAAGAAACGAGTGAGGTAACCAAGAAAGAGTGCAGGCTAAATGAAATCTAAAAATCTACTATGTGCTGAAGGGAACAATAACTTGATTTTTCAAATTCAGAACATAAAGGGTCAGAAAAAAATATTAGGAACTCATTCACTTCCAATCTCTATTTAGATAGAGGTGAATAGGAACTAAAACTAAAATCTTCAAAAAGGAAGAAAACTAGTAATAATTACTAGACAATACAAATCTTCAATAGCTAAGCATACTCTTGTAAACAGAGGAGTCCAGGGTCCTACCTCAGTCATGGTCATCATTTCATTACGACATTCATCCAACTGAATCTGCAACTCATTCTGGCTCTCCACCAGTTGTAAACCATACTGTGCAGCCTTTATTCGATCCTCTTCAACCTCTTTGAGTTTGCATCGAAGATCTGCAATTACATCTGCCTCCATTTTTTTTTCCGTTTTTAGTCTACTGTAAATAGACGGAATGAAAGTACTTAAGCTTTAACAAAATATTCCATACAATAACAATTATAAAAGATATATATATCTTTCCCTACAATACTACTGCTGTATAAAAACATAGTATTGAAGATTTTATTCCTGGATTTTAAATGGTCAAATTTGCTGCTGTGTCTTGTTCTAAAAGCAAGGTCTGATAATTCTGTTACCTGATTTGAGACCAAATCAAAGAGAAAAAAAAAAATTGAACACATTTAACTTTATTCTAAGAAATGTAGTTATCAGGAATCTGTTCAGTTGTGTGCTAAGCTTCTTTAAATGCTGAGGTAGGGTGTGTCTCATATTTATATCATTATAGAGGTAATCATATTAAGAGCACAACGAAAGAAATCAAGAATTTATAGTAGCATGACTGCTACTTCAAATATAAAAAGGCAGCTTTGAATAAGGTTTGTAAGGCAAAGAATATCATGCACACAATTTTTCACAACAGCATTAATTTTCTGAACACATTAAATTTGCTTTATTGATAATAGGCTCACTAGTATTTTCTGTTATTCACAAGAGACATGCAAAATAGAATCATGTTCAGAGTAATTAAAGAACATTTCTTATATTCCAGATTTTCAATCAAGGATTTAAACATTTTATATAGAAACATTCCACTATAATTCAACCTTACTCATCATCGTTTCCAAATTGTCCCATCTCTCAAGCCAGATTTAAACACGGCTTTGCATTCAAAGAGCAACAAGTCATTAATAAGGTGTTTCCCTGCTTTCCAATCAATGTAATCATTATTCAACAAGTATTTCTTAAAGCTTTATGTGCTTAACTCCATTCTATGCATTTGAGATCCATCAGAAGCCAAATGGGCCATAAATCAATCAATCAATCAATCAATCAATCAATCCCAAAAAAACAAAGTGTTCTTTCATGAAACTTACTTTCCAGGGTGAGAAGACAAGCAATAGTAGTACCATGATTAAATGCATTTGAAAGTGAAAAAAAGAACAAAAGAAAAAGGGAACTTGGAAGTAGGTATAATATAATAGAATTAAATCTAAATTAAGTGTTGGGGAGAAAGACCCTCTGGTGACTTCTGAAAAAAGCCTTGCAGAGGATAAGAGAATTAGCAAGAAAAAGGGGTAGAGGCAGAAGGGTAGCACTAAAGTAGAAGGATGCCTAAGAAATGAACAAGATAAAATATAGGTCACAGGAGAGAATAGAAGACAATAGGCAAATCAGGCCACTGCAAGGACTTTGGCTTCTACTCTAGGTGAAATCGGGGTTCATTGCAAAGTATAGGTTAGAGATCTGATACTTTAAAAGGATCATTTTGGCTGCTATGTTGAATCGTTTGGAGGGAAGCAAGTGGGAAACATAAAGACCAGGTGAGATGATAGCTTACACAAGGATGAGTATAAAGGAGGTGGGGAGAAACAATGAGATTCTGCATATAGTTTGAAGGTAAAGGCAACATGATTTTCTGACAAATTAAATGTGGTTATGTATAAAAAAGAGAGGTTAGAAATGCCTCGAAGGCCTCTGGCCTGAGCAACTACTAGAACAGATTTGCCATCAGCTGGACCATCAAAAGTTATGAGTAAAAACTGTCTTGAAAGAAAATCAGGAGCTTACGCTTTAAATATGAAATATATCATAAATAAATAAATATGAAATATATCAGGTAACCAGTTGGCACAGGAAGGATCTGGGCTAGAAATACAAACCTAGGAGTTATTAACAGAATTCCTTGAGCCTTGGTGTCACCATAGCATGAATATAATTAAAGAGGACCAAGGATTGAGCCATTAAGAGGTGGGAAAGAAGACAGCAAAATATACTCAGGCATGACCAATGAGGCAAGGAAAGCCAAGAGCCAAGTATTATCCTGGAAGCCAACTGAAAAGGGTTGGAGAAAATGGTGGGAAAACAGGAAACACAGTTTTGCTGCAAAGCACAGCAGATAAATGGGGCGGTAGCTGAAGGGGAAGTAGGATTGTTTATCTGTTTTGAGATACAATATTTTAAGAAAAAATAACAGCATGGTTGTATGTCATGGGATAGATTCAGGAGAGAAGAAAAACTTGACGATATAGAACACATGGAGAACTGCTAAAGTGATGAAAAAGAATGAAGTCTAATGTACAAGGACTGATTTTAGATGGGAGCATAAATATTTCACCTAAAGGGAAAGCAAAATATATGGGTACAGACTACTGATAAGTAGGTAGATTAGTGATGGGAGTCTGCATAAGTGCCCTTCTAACTGTTCCAACTTATCAGTAAATGAGGAAGCAAGGTTATTAAGTAAAAATGAAGATGAAGGAGATATATGGTTTCAGCAGAGAGAAGAAAAGAAAAAGGTATCCATCCTGTTATCCAGGGCCGACAGTTACTGCTCTAAAACACAAGATCTTTCCAGGATGCCTGGATGGCACAGTTAGTTAAGGGTCCAAGTCTTGGTTTTGGCTCAGGTCATCATCTCAGGGTTGTGATCAATGTCGTGAGACCCAGCCCCACGTGGAGCTCCTCACTCGGCGTGGAGTCAGCTTCAGACTCTTTTTCCCTCTCCTTCTGCCCCTCCCTGCTGCTCACCCCCGCTGTCAAATAAATAAAATCTTTAAAAATAAGTAAAATACAAGACCTTTCCAAAGCCTGTAGGTGATGGGGGTAGGCACTCATTATTGCACTTTTTATCATATATTGGTTGAGGATTTACCATTTGCCAGGTAGAGTGCTTCAAAGGAATTATCCCATTTAATTCTCTTGATAGGCCTAAGTTAATTAAACATTACTGCCATCAACATTTACCAAAGAAAAAAGAGAGCTAGCCTCAAGACATTCCAGCCAGCAGAGTCCAAGGATGCCAAAGAAATGTGTTCTCATTCTTTCAAGATTTGCTAGAATCCCTATTATGTGTCTGGTACTGTGCTATTGCTGACACAATGGTGACCCCCCCCACCCCCAAAACTAGACAGTATCCCTCCTGCCTTCTTGAATCTTACAGGCATTAGTGGAAATGCATTAAATCAAATAACTGTAAAGTCTTATAAGCGTGATTAAGTGCACGAGGGAGCTTGTTATAAGTTATCAACATGGGAGTGATGCCCTAAATTGGGATGTGAGGTGGGGGTAGGGAGTATGGACAGGAAAGATTTCTCTGAGAAGTGACTTTCTGCAAAGGTCTAATGGACGAGTAAGAGTTAACCTGTCCATCCGCAGAGGTAGCCGGGTCGAAGAACTACAGCTAATACGTGCCAGACATAGGGATCCCTGGGTGGCGCAGCGGTTTGGCGCCTGCCCTTGGCCCGGGGCGCGATCCTGGAGACCCGGGATCGAATCCCACATCGGGCTCCCGGTGCATGGAGCCTGCTTCTCCCTCTGCCTGTGTCTCTGCATCTCTCTCTCTCTCTCAACTATCATAAATAAATAAAAATAAAAATTAAAAAAAAAAAATACGTGCCAGACATAGTACTTGAGGCTTCGCACATATTATCTAAGTCTCTCAACAACCCCATGAAATAGGAGGGGTTTCTGGCATTTACACACGTGCAGACTGAGGCACAGAGAGGTCAGGTAACTTGCCTAGGGTAAGCAGCCAGTAAGTGCCCGAGATGGGGATCAGGGTCTGGCTCCGAAGCCGGGTGCTCCTAAGCCCTTTTCTGCTCAGCCTCTCAGAAACCGCATACACAAAGCATTTAAGGGCGGCGAGCTCGGGCGGCCTCAGCTCCTACTCCACTTTGCACAACGCCCTGGAGGCTCGAGCTTGGACGACTTGTTCAAGATCTTGTGTTCTCATCCCTAGGATAAAGGCAGTAACACCTCTCCGACAGCGTTCTTGAGATTAGCCCAGCTAAGGCCGGAAGAGGCGATTAGAATCTGACAAGCCGCTCTGGGGGGGGGGGGGGGCAGCGCCGTCCAAAAGAGCACGAGCTGCGATAGGTGACTCTTAAAATTATTTTTCTAGGAGCCATGTCAAAAAAAAAAAAAAAAAAAAGTAAATGCAGGTGAAATTCATTTTAGCAATATTTTATTCAACCCAACACATCCAAAACACTGCCATTTCGGTGTGTCACCTTCAAGCTCATTAGCGGGCTGTTACTGTTTCCCTTCAGTCTTGGCAGCACGGCGCGCACGGTCTCCGCAGCACTTCTCTCTCCGGACCGCTACGTGTGGCCGGCCGGCGGCTCCCGTCCTGGACCGCGCAGGCGGGCCCCCCCCCCACGCCCGGTCCCGCCCCGCCCCGCCCGGCCCTTCCTTCCGGACGCACGATACCCGGCCGTGGTGGGGGCACGCGGCCAGCGCAAGACGGAGGCCCGCCCGGAAGCCGGCCGGGAAGACTCCGGGGGCGCTGCAGAGGCCGCTCGGGCCCGGCCCCGCCCCGCCCCGGCCCGGCCCCGCCCCAGGCCGCCGGCTGCCGCAGGCTCCCTGAGGCCCTGCTTTCCCCACCCCCCGAGAGACTCCCTTCGCCCCTCTCCACACGCACCTCCCTCCAGGCCCGTCGCCCCTACCTCTCTCCTCACCCCTCGCCCCTGCTTGCTGCAGCCGGCAGCTCGTGCCGAGGGCGCACCGCGCCGAGGCCCGCGGCGGTAACACCGCCTCGCAACCAGAGACGCCCGTCCGTGCCCTCAGCCGGCTCGCCCGTCCGTAAGCGCCAGGGCTTTTTGAATGCTGTTCCCGCGAGAACTCACACCTCTCGCGAGGCGTCCCGCCCAAGCTGCGCGCCGAGGGAAAACTGAGAACCTCGGGGAGGAGTGCGCCCGCCCCCTTTGCCGCGCCTGCGCAGAAGCAGGAGCGCGCCGCGGGAGTGGGTCCCCGCGGGTCCGCTGTCCCCGGGCGTGGCGGTGTGCGTGTCCCCCAGATGCCTGCGTTTAGTAGCCGCGTCGCTTGTTTCCGCTCTGTTCTGGGGACAGTACCTTCCGGAGAGACAGGCGAGGCGGCGGGGAATTCGGAGACGCGCCGACCTCCCGCGTCCTGCCGTCGGGTGGGCCGGGGGGCTGCGCCCCCTCGAGTCCTCCCGGGTCCCGGGGGTCGGGCGCGGTGCGCGGTGGCTAAACTCCTCCCAGGGCGGAATCGCGTCTCCGTCCCAGAACGGGCTGACCGCGGGGCCGACCCTGCTCGTTAGAATGGCGCTAGCCTTGAGCGTTCACCGTGTGTCAGTGCAGCGCTAAGTGTCACACGGGCGTCCCAGTTGAGCCCACAAACTGCCTGATGAGGTACGTACCGTCCTCTCTGTCTTGAGGAAAACAACCCGAGGAAGAAAAGTGTAATGGCCAAGTGGTCGACCTAGAATCCGAACTAAGGCAGCCTGCTGCTAGAGGGCCCGCTCTTGCCTGCGCGCTTACACAACGAATTTAATGGTTTTTTTTTTTTTTTTTTTTTTTTTTTTTTTTGTAAGCCTGGTGCCTCTTCACTATTCGGAAATTTAAGCCATCAGAAATGACAAAAGCCAACATTTACTGAGCACTTCTGAGTCCTGTGCTTTGAGGCCGACTTTCTTGCCTTCCCGGGCCCTAGGCCCTAACTCCGCTCCTTTTCATCATGTTTCTTCCCTGGTGGATCTTCCTTATCAGCAAATACACAAGCTGTAATGCCTCCATCTCAAAAAGTAGTTCTGATCTTCCTTGACTCCAGCCAGCTACCACTCCATTTATTTGCTTACCTTGATAAGCAAAATTCCTGGGGGGTAAAAAAAAAAAAGAAAGAAAATGAATTGAGACTGGGTGTCTCTATTTTCTTACTTTTCATTCTAACACTTTTCCCACTTCGGATTTTGGTTCCCACAGGTCCAGTAAAATAGCTCTTCTCGACATCACCTGTGAGTTCCATCTTGGAAAATCCTCACTTTTCTTGTATTATGACAAAGTTGATCGCTCTCACTGAGTCTGGGTTGAAGTCTTGGAGTGCCACACCCTACTTACCTTCCTCTTCAGTTTCCTTGGCAGACTTGTAGTTTGCATCTTGTATTTTCATGTTATTAAGTAATGTTCCAAGATAGTTTTGGGGGGATCAAGCAAGAACAAACCCAGGACTCTATGACACAGTTTGCAAATAGGAACTGGATCAATCTACAAAGTTCCATAGTATATAGGAAGGACCAAGAAATGAAGTTGTTATAAGTTACTCTCAAGGTTGTGGTAATTGAGACCCGGAGAATGGCGGAGATCAAGAAACAGAAAAGAGGAAAGAGGGCTTTGTTCAGGACTTTGGTGATTGTCCTAATCCACAGAAGAGAAGAAGAAGAAGGATACAACAACAATAGGAAAATCAGAAGAACCATCTGAGAAGTGATCAGTAAATTTAACTGTCACGTGGTTGTGTTAATTAGACATAATATTGATGATTGTATCAGGCCAGTGGATTTGACCGTTCAATAGTAAGAATGACAGTGGCAGCCTTTCTTGGCCCTACTATTTCTTTTTTTTTTTTATTTTATTTTATTTATTTATGATAGTCACAGAGAGAGAGAGAGAGGCAGAGACACAGGCAGAGGGAGAAGCAGGCTCCATGCACCGGGAGCCCGATGTGGGATTCGATCCAGGGTCTCCAGGATCGCGCCCTGGGCCAAAGGCAGGCGCCGAACCGCTGCGCCACCCAGGGATCCCGGCCCTACTATTTCTAACCAGCTTCAATTCTTCATGAGCCCTATTGCTTTGTTCCTTTTCCCGTACTTGGAACAAAGTTGCATCACCCCAATATTGTGGACATTTATTGGTTAACTGCCCAGAATCGATTCCATCGTCCTTTTCCTGTCCAAAGCATTCTGATTATCCTTTAGTAATTCATTTTTCTGTCCATTTTCAACCACGTGGATTGTTTAAAATTGGTCCTACCTTCCGCTCTAGGTACCATTCACTCTGGTTATAGTAATTTGTTCAGAGATGGGCATGCAACTGAATCCAAGCCAGTGAAACAAAATGAGATATTCATCGAGACTGCTCGAAAAATGGATTTTGTTAACCCATTCTGTATGTAAATTTTGTAGCCCAGAACTGCCAACTGCCATCCTGGTCCTATGAAACTTAAGTTGGCTTGAAATAGATTCAAAAGCAGACGTGATGATTAGAGAGGTTGAAAAGAGTCTAGGTCATACTGTTTGTGCCCCTATATATCAAGTCCTCTGACACTACAAATATCCCAGAAAAATAGTTTTTGTTCAAATGGCTTCAGTTTTTGTTTTCCGTTACTTGTTACATGAAGGGTTTAACCAAGACACTCAATAATACTTGAGTCTGAGCTTGAGTGGACTAATTAACCTGTCAAGTTCCCAGTCTACATTTAGGATGCTATGAGACCAAAACTGGAAGTTGCTAACATCTAGAGATAGGATTTAGTGATGGCTCTGAGGAAAATGTACTGGTTGATCTAAAAGGAAGACATCCTAAATGAAGGGGATTAGTGTATAGTATAGTAAAATAAGGATCCAAATAGTTTGTATGTAATTCCTTTCTTGTCACCACTTCACATTACAATTATGCCCCTGTTAAGCTGACTTCAGGTGATTTTAGCACCTAAGACAGAATTAGATGGAAGGTTTATATCAGTTATAGTTTTTACTTGCCAAAAATAGTACCTAATCTAGCTGAAGATATATATGTATATAAAAAGTACCAGTCCTAATTTTTGCAAGTATTTACAAGACTGTAGTTGCTACTTATGACATCCTATCTTCCAGCGCCCTCTACATATTTCTTTCACTTTCTGGCAGTATCTCAACTAATTGGGTTTCTTTATCCAGTACAGTGACCCAAATCTACACTGCTGAATAAAACATATTCACTAGTTATGATTTATATTACCCACTGTTCTGTTGGCCCAAATTTATTTGGTCAGACTCAAAGTGAGATAGGATAAAACTTAAGGCCTTGCTCTTTCTCTGAGAGCTTGAAACTATCACACCACTTTTCTGTGTGTGGTGTGTGTGTGTGTGTGTGTGTGTGTGAATTCAGTGGAAAGAAGTGGTAACTGTCTTTATTCTTAATTCTTAATTCTGCAATTAGCTTAATGTATTTCTGAAAAAAAAAACAACAACAACAACAACCTGGGAGTATACACAGTAAAAGGAGAAATTGATGAGTCAGCACCCTCAAGTAAGCCACTGAATACACCTGTTCAATAATGCTTGCCTACAAACTACCTCTTGCCTATTGCCACTAGGTGACAGTCTTTACAAATATTTAATCTGAAAGAGTGTTACAGAAATTAGATTCTATTGGAAGTGATGGTTACCTTTGCAGTTTCACCTAGAAGATTAAGCAAACACATATTTGTTATAACCTACACTTTAGGTCACTTGAGTTCATAGTTATTCCTCATCTTGAACACTTTTCTCCTCCTACTACTTAGTTTATTCCTTCCTACAGGCTGAATTGTTTCTCTAAAATTTATATGTTAAAACCCTAACCTCCATTATGACTGTATTTGGAGATAGGGCTTTAGGAGGTAATTACGGTTAAAAAAGGTCATAAGAGTAGGGCCCTAATCTGATAAGATTGGTGTCCTTAAAGGAAGAGGAAGATAAAGATCTCTCTTTCTGACTCTCTTTTTATCTCCCCATGCACCACAGAAGAAAGGCCATGTGAGAAGGTGACATCTACAAATCAGAAAGAGAGTCCTCCCCAAGAACTGAATGTGCCAGCACCTTGAACTTGGACTTCCCAGCCATCAGATTTGTGAGAAATAAATTCTCTGGGTTTTTTAAGTATTTTGTTATTGTAGCCTAGAGCAGATCCTCCATAGCAAGAAAGGCCCTGTGACTAATGGTTAAGAATATAATACATGTTCTGGAGTCCATATCTGGGTTTGGTTGTAGGCTCTGTTACTCCCTGGTGTGTTACCTTTAACGGACTACTTATCCTTTCTAAGACTCAGTTTCCTCAAGTACAAAATGAGATAATCAATGTAGATAATTCGACAGATCATTGTGTTGTTTACGTGAACTAATACTTTTAAACACTTAGCATAATGTCAGTAATGTCAGCTGTTATTAAGAGCATTGTTTTAGCTCAAGTGTCATTCCACCTGGGATAGAAAAGGATTCCCCTTTTCTGAATAGTATAGTCTATAGCACCTTGTGCTCATCCTTTGGAACCCTTACAATAGTTAGCAATAATTTGTGTAATTTATGTCTGCCTTCCTCACTAAACTATAAACTATTTGAGGCTAGAAAGGCCTATATATATTTTGCTCGCTGTGGTTTCTTGGCAAGTGTCAGTGCATGGGGGGGGCGGGTGGCATCAAGGTGCTAAAGTCAAGTTTGATTAATGAATGAAAAATGATATTCATTCATTTAAATGAGGAACCTGTAAACTCTCTTAGAGAGAACTGGGTCAAGTAACTTGTAAAAGTATTAGTATTCTTAATTCTGAATGAAAAATGCAGAAAATATATTGATTGTTTATGTGAAACAAATCAAGTGTCTCAGAGATAGTATCCCAAATGATCTCTGAAATTTTAATCACTTCATTTCCTTATGTAATGTGTCCCTCACTTGAACCAATATTTCTTCAAGAAAATTTATGTATTGATAAAATTTCTTTAATTCAAGCATTTTAAATTATACCAAGGAACCTAGCTAGTATAATAGTCCTATTGGAGAGGCCTGTAAAGAATTCTTGGCTGAAGGAAATGTTCACTTTTGTGTAAATGCAGAGTTGTATTA